AAAAAAGGGAATGAATTATTAGTACAAGACAGAATTATCAAGGATTGTGATACTCCCTGCTGTGGAACACTTGGAAACAATTCCTTTCCTTGGTCACATGCATGTGTTTCCCCCTACACATAGGAGCACTACAAGTTGAGTACACCTGTCGCTGGACTTTGCTCTCCTTGTAACAGACCACACAGTTTTTCTTCTCTTCGGTGAAAACTGGCATGTGCACAGATTCAAATGCCTCTGGGTCAACTTTCTTGCTGATGGGAGTAGTACTCACAGGGGGTTCCTCACAGTATTCGGGAAAACCACAAATGTTCCTAACAATCTCCTCTCGGAAATGGGCCAGTGAATAGTCTGCTGTCCTGTGAAGGTCTTCATTGTCGGGAAACTGAGCTTGGTGTTCCCTGAAAAGTATANGAAAAAGATACTTCACAAGCACAGTTGAGGTATAGAGGTAATCAATGTACAAGTGGTATCTCCGATTGAAAAAATTTTTGCATTAGTTGAACAACAACATCATAACCAAGCCCATGTACACTAACATCCCTCCCTGCTACTTTCCCTATGTACACACTGAAATCAATGGTATACCCATTGGAGCTATCTGCTAAAACCCACAGTTTAATTCCCCATTTAGTGGGTTTATCCTTGATGTACTGACGAATACCAGATCGATGTCTTGATTTGACCATACGCTCATCGATAGCCAGCTGTTGTCTGGGCTGGTACAAGGCAAGGCACCTAGATTTAAAATGATCAATGAATGACTCAACCTTACGTAATTTGTCATCCGGATCCTCAGCTGCTGGATCTACTACATGCAACAAAGCCATAAGGGCTCTGAATCGGATTCTGGACATTATGGACCTTGCCCATAGACCATAATAAAGGGATTTGGTGCTCCAATATCTGTCAGTGTTGACACCTACCTTGACAAGGCCAAAATAAATCAATAATGCCATCAACCTGTTGATTTCTTCAGGAGTTGTATCTTTCCAACTCCCATCTGACTGGGTATAGGACTTATGGCTTCCTGAAATGATATGTTCATTAGCATAACTGTTTGTATGCTTACAAATATTACTTACCATATCTTCAGTAAAAAAAAGATGAAAAAATTCTGCAGCTTTGGTCATAGTATTCCTGAGCAAAGGACGACCAAAATGTACACCTACGGGACGGGAGGGTCTGAACGGGGGAAGGGCATTTGCATTATCTGGATCACCATAACTTTGGAAAACCATAGGAGCAGCACCACGACGAGCCCCACGACCTGCACCGCGACCTGCACCGCGACCTGCCCCACGAACAGCACCACGACCAGCACCACGAACACCACCACGAACACCACGGCGACCACCGCGACCACGAGCAGCTGTGCCACCACCACTAAGAGCTGGGGCAGAAGGTCTTGCAGCCTGACGACGAACCCTGCGAGCAGCCGCAACAGTAGGTCTTGCAGCTCCATGACGACGAGCACCACCAGCAGCTGGTTCAGCAGGTCTTCCGTCATGAGCAGGAGGAGCAGCAGGAGCCACAGGAGCCACAGGAGCTGGGGGAGCAACGGGCACCTCATCACCATCATCTTCTTCACTACCATCCTCCTCTCCAACTTCTTCCTCTCCAACTTCTTCCTCTCCAACTTCCTCGCTGTCATCAACGTCTTCCTCACCACAGTCACCGATATCTTCCTCACTACAAGGAAAACATCAATTCATTCTCTGAAGTTCTTNNNNTCCTCTCCAACTTCTTCCTCTCCAACTTCTTCCTCTCCAACTTCCTCGCTGTCATCAACGTCTTCCTCACCACAGTCACCGATATCTTCCTCACTACAAGGAAAACATCAATTCATTCTCTGAAGTTCTTATCAAAACAAGGCCATTTGTTGTAGAATTTGTTATTTCAAAGATAGCTACAATAATTCTCTTGACTTTACCAAAACTGTAAATGAAAATAACATCACATATTTTTGCACACAAAAACTGAAAAGTTATAATTCTAAATGCCAAAAGTATATAATACATAATCAGGGAAACATAAAGCCATTTACAGAGCGTTCGCGTCCTTTTAGAATGAACCACTGCGTAGATTGAAATCCGAGCCTCTTGTTTACGAGTAGCAATGCAGCATTCCATCACATATTTTTGCTCTGATTGCCCCAAAAACCATTTTCCTCCGAATAAATTGATCTCCCTAAACTCAAATATAAATCTAGACACTTTTTCCAAGCAGTAAGGCGAGTTTCAAACGAAAAAAGCCGATAAAAATATCATTTCCTTGCATTTTAGATCATGTGCGTGGGTCACGCGTCACTTACGCAACAACATAGGCAGAAACGTTTACACGGCTCTTACCTCGAATCCTCCTCTGAATCTAGAAGTAAATGGTCCAAAACACTCTCTTCATCACTTGACATTCCCTCATTGCCATTTTCGTCGTCTTCTAGAAGTTCTAGAACCTGTTCCGCAGTATAAAAAGTCCTACGCGAACGTTTCGCGGCCGACGCCATGATCGACCAAAAAAGCTGACCCGAATGTGGACTTTGGACTCAACGTTGTGTAGGCCACATTGAAGTGTCGTAGCTGAAATTTGCACAGTGATGAGGTAATTTCCTTGTCACGCTTTGTGCCAAATTTCGTGACGATCGGTTAATAATCCGATTTTTTTAGAATTTTTTAGTCATCAATCCTGAAGCATTGAAATTTATAGAGCCGGACGGGAAAGTGTTTACATTTCATGAA